TGACAAAGATAGACGAAGACGAAACAGGCACCGTTGTTACTCAGATAAGTGAGAGAAAAACAGAAATGGAGGATGAAAAGAAGAACGACGAAACCGGAAATGTAGCCAAAAATAAAGGAATAGGCTTGAAAAAGAAGTGAAACCGAAGGAAGGAGGGGAATACGAATGAGAGAAGAAATATGTTGGACGAAGTGAATAGAACATTTAAGAAGAAGGACTAGGATGACAACAACATCAACAAATGACAAAGTAGGACAAGTGAAATGTAGAAGGTTGAAAAAATATAATCAATGAGAATTAGGAATTAACATGGTTAAAAAAGCAATGATAAGGAAAAATAAACGAGATATAACAGACTAGAAAGAGAAAGGAAGAAGAAAAAAATAAAGACGATTCTTGTAAGTGTAGCAGTGTTGATCTAAAAATCGTTGCAGATGTAAAGAATATACAGCAAAAGAGAAGATGGTCTGCATAAATGGTCAGCATAAACTTAAATAATTTTCAATAATATACAGCGATATAATAAAATCAAAATTCTGTAAATATGGGACACACACTGAGTCTTGAACTCACTATACAATATTAATAGCCAGCTTGACTATCTCGGTAAACATTAACCGATGCGCGGTGACCTTAATTTACGTTGAAACATTGTCGGTAGAAGCGATGAGGAAATGTGTAAAATTATGTGGATATTAAAGTTCGAGTTAACGATGATAATACATCTATAAAGAACACATGCACACAACCCCTATAAGAAAAAAAAAAAAAGAAATGCAGCGAGGAAAGATTCCTTCGCATATTTGCCATTATAGCCACTCGCACTCACAAAGAAACAGAGACGCACGCATGCGCATGGGTATGCACATGAATGCGTATACATTCCGACACAGGCGCCCACGTTTGTACATTCCGAAATCCCCCCGACCCCTTTACACATGCATCGTTCATCTTCAAAGAACAACCCCACCCACGCATACGAGACTGAGTGTTCACTCTCATATACACCAAAGCAAAACAAAGACAAAAAGAAGAAAGAAAAAATGGCTGACTGCAATTGTGTACATTACGCAGACATGCTGTTCCCAATAGACGTAATTTGGGACACATGGGGAAGCGGGTAAAAAAGAGAACAAGTACTGGAAAATGAAGGGAGGAGATAAAAAAAAAAAGAAACAAAATGCAACGTTCATTTAAAGCTCTCAGTAGATATGCTTCTGAACAGTGAATTATACATAAAGTAATACTCATTACACAAGCATTCAGCCATATATATATACACACACACACACACACACACACACACACACACACACACACACACACACACATATATATATATATATATATATATATATATATATATAGGCAGAATATCTTCATTCAAACATGTTTCATTGAATAATATAGACATATTGTGTCTAATTTTTTATACTTATCCTTTTCAGTTCTCTAATCAATTTCTTGGTGTTAAGATGAAAATTCATTAAGTAAGGTGCCGTAGTTTTTGGGAACTCAATTACTTTTGGTCTCTTCAAAGATTATCTTCACGGGTAAATTCCAAAGACAAACTTATTGTAATTGTGAGAAAATTTGCATGCAGTTTTCATGACGAATTAAAAAAAAAAAAAGTTAAAGTTATTTGAAAATGTATTTTCCCCTTTTTCAGTTATGGAGTAACATTTGCAAAAGAAGCGCTTCAATATAAGAAACTGGCTGAAAATTGGTAGAGATGCAAAATGGCATTAAATATTTGTTTTATGTACTTCAATACGTTGATATATATATATATATATATATATATATATATATATATATATATATATATATATATATATATATATATATATATAGATGGACTCGAGAATATGAAGTTCTTGTTTATTATATCCGTAAATTGGTGTTGTCAACAAGTATTTCCTGCATTGTGAAGATGGATGAGAATGCATTTTTCGATTTTCAATAGAACCTGTATCCGACAAATAAAGAGAAAGGCGTCTTATGAATGTTGTTTCTGTCGTATATATATATATATATATATATATATATATATATATATATATATATATATATATATATATATATATACATATATATATATATATATATATATATGCGTGTGTGTTTTTTCTGTGTGTATATCTGTGTCTGTGATGTTATTATTAGACGTTTCCCTAAAAGGAAGCATTTGGTATTCATTGACCGAGCAGCCAGTAATGCTTTGGTTTGAAATTCATAAAATCTTTCTCTTAAAACAATTTTTCCGGAAAATAGGTTTCTCATTTCTCAAGTAGTTCTTTCGCTGTTATCGTTATTTACAGTATTGACGGCGGTTTCGTTTCTAATCTTTTATTTGAAGTAGAGTGGAATGCCAACATTTTGATTATTTTAATATAATATTTTTGCATGCTATCCATTTCAGTTCTTGATACTCTTAATAGTAATGTGGTTTCTGTAATTTAGTATAGTTCATGTGTGATTCTGTAACGCCATTCTTCAATGTTCAAAGAAGGATGTTTTTTTGTAAAGACCCTTACATTTCACTCTTTTAGAGCAATTTTAACTATTAGTCTTAAGAAACGGTGTTATACACCTGACAGTTTAGATTTTTCTGAACTGCTTTGGTGTCATGCGTGACATCCACATGAATGTCCCGGTTTTACGTAGCTATTTAAGAATATGCACTTCTAAATATTTTTCATTTTCTTCTCTCATGGGATATACCTTTTCAAGATTTGGGTGATGATGTCTCTTTTACAACTTCTAATTTCCTTGCACTAAGAGTTACTTACTTTTTTATCTGTCTATATTTCTGAGATGAGGTATTATGTACACTATTTACATTATTCGGACTATTGTCCTCATTTTTGTCGCCATATTTATTACTACGTTTCGGCCGTTGTACGCTCCGGCATTCTTCAGATGGTTGAAATGTTGAACTGAACCTTTTATTTCGTTCACTGGGGTAGACTGTTCTAGATCCACGTGCCACGTTTAATAGATGTCAGTAATCAGTTATCTCCTGTTAATTCCCCTCATCCAAGTTTTCCACTGCCTTAACCGGGTATTGCCGAAACGGCCGAAACAAAGATGAGGATAATAGTCGGAATGATGTAAATAGTGTACTTTTTTATTAAACATTTTTGCTTTGCTGATCATTGTTCTATCTGTTTATTTGAATAATCAGATACGTTACTCGTTTTTTCTCGCCAATTCTAAACGCCTCGATATGATCTGTGAGTGATATATTCTACATTAAGTGGGCGTGCGCGTTCCAGTTGCATTTCCTCACGCGAAAATTGTTTGGGGAAATGCATGAATCGATCTCTTCCTGCCAGCTATTGTAAGACTTGTATATGGAAAAGTAATAAATAATTTTAAAACAATGGCCGTTTGTGTAGGCAACAGAGATTTAAGAAATGAAGTATATGTACTCATAATACAAAGGCACAAACACATATACCATAGTAGAGAAAACTCGCTACCATTTGTGTTTCTGCAGCGGTCTTTGAACAACACCATATACGTCAAGAATATGGTTCAAGTGGTTTCGCTCCCACACCTGCAGTAGGAAGGCAGTGCACAGTTCCAGAAGTACGTTGTTCACATTTGTCAGCGTTGTTTAGAAGATATTTGACAACTTTAATAGCCAGATCTGAAACCTTTTTTCATACGGAATACGTATGGCTTCTAGTGGTATGATGCTCGACACATGCAGTTGCAAGAGTCTTAGAATCATGAATCGCAGGAGAGTATACGTCATTTTTCTGATCATACCCTTAAGTCTAGAGTAGAAAGGTAGGTTGAATTAAAAGGGTACGTTGGAAAATTCCTTCAACAAAGTAGGAACAGTAGATTGTAATAAACAGACAAACAATTTGAAAAAAATTGTAAAAAAATAGAGTATTCGGTAGCTTGGTAAGAATCAGAATCTAAATAGACGGTCATGCTTGGCTATTCCGGCTGTGACAGTATTAATGCAACATTTATCGTGATCTCCAAGGAGGATATAAAGTGAATGTGGTTTAATATGATGCACAACTTATAATCAATTATATTATCTTAAAGCCTATGATCGATCATCTATCTATCTATCTATCTATCTATCTATCTATCTATCTATCTATCTATCTATCTATCTATCATCATAGACTGGCCGTACGAAATCACAGAGATCTATACCAAATAAGAAAAACGACATGAAAAATTTAAATACTAGTTACAACAAAAATGTGTTGCGCATGTAAATGGGAAAATAATTATATAATCAATTATTAAACTTCCCTCACTAACAAAAAAAAACGAAAACAAAAAAACAAATCAGAAAAACATTTGGGAAGAAACATGCATCAGTACTATAAAGAGTGGTAACAGTTATTATACTTGAGAAGTATAAATGGATAAAAAAAAACAACTGTTTTTTGACTACTGTTTTAAGGATTCACCCTCCACCCGATCATATCACTAGATATTCGCTAAATGAATGTCGAATGCTTCCTGTATAGAAACTGCTGACTTTACCATGATCTTCATCATTATTTTGTAACCAGTGCAAATATTAATATGTATATATGATTATTTACAGCAATCCCAGGATATTACTTATACAGGTAGAATTTTCAGTTATAGACGAAGTTGGTACTGAAAGAATTTCAGCAAGACTCACAAGACAGATTCCTTAAAATTACCAAAATCATAATTCCTAAAATTACTCAAACACTAATAAACAAATAATAACAATCGACAGTATGATCAAAACAATATTTTCCAAAATCCGGAACCTTATTTACACTCATTGAATTCAGATATCGTTTCACTTCTCCATAAATAGAAATGAAAAGAGAAAGATTTTTCTTTCTTTTTATTTAAAGAGACTTTTAGATACGTGTATGTGATAGATTGATATGGACCTATTAGTGGCCTTTTGCCAAATTAGTGTAGGCTGGCTTAGTCTAAATCAATATCACAATTGATGAGCATCCAATTAATCTTGAACCTTTGCGTCAACAGCAATAAAATTAATTCCTATATCAGGTGCCTATTGAGAGAAGGATGTACAGGTAACGTAATGATTATCGGCGCGGTAAGTGCAATCGGTGATACGTATTCAAATTCCGGCAGAAGCTGTTGCGTCCATTTTTACATAATCTATCTATCTTACCTATAGGCTGAATATTTGAGGAGACCCTCTGGATTTAATAATTATTAAGTTTCATGTCATCTTCTGTTTAATTAATTTTTACTCATCTAGGATACTGAAATTATTTAAGCCATTTTCCTTTGAATTCTGTTGCATACTCATTTCCTTCCGGGTCCCAACCAGCGACCTAAATCAGAATTTGCATCATGACATTTTTTACTAAGGATGACTGTGAAAAAAGAAAGTGCAAAGACTTTCTAGGATCACACTCATTTCACATAGATAATGACCTTCATACGGTGTGAATTTTGAGTACAATGTTTGGTATTTCCTACCAAGAATCACTTAATTATGTCTATCCTTTGCAATCAAACTGAGGGCTCCAACAACAACTGGAACTATTGATGTGCCTCATTTTTTTGATTTCCACTTCAAGTTCCTATTAGTTTCATAGATTTTTTTGAAGATCTTCAAAGATACATTACAGTCTGCAAGGACTTCAGGAAAGAATGACCCTTTTGGCCGATGAAATGGGTTATATCTTACAGACATTTTAATATATCTTCTCTTTGTACGTTATTTTTATGGATAAAAATTATTTGAGTAAATTCTCTATTTTTTAATTAAAAACTATTAATTGCATTTACTGGCCTGAATATTCGAGAAATTTCGAAGAAAATATGGGTTCTCCGACAGGGATCGAACCAATAATGAGGCTATATGACGGTTTCCGTATGCGATACAGGTTCGATTCCCGTTGGAGAGGCATAT